ACATATATCGAAAATGTTTGATAGCCGCATAGATAGCTAATAGTTCTCTATCATATGCACTATACTTAGTTTGTGTAGGTGTGAGTTTCCTTGAAAAGAAATTGAGTGGTTGGAGAAATCCGTTGCTGTGCTGTTGCAGTACCGCGCCGATTGCTTTGTCTGAGGCGTCTGTTTGCAACGAGAGTGTTGCATTGCTGTCTGAAAATGCGAGCGAGGTAGCTTGAGCGAGATGTTCCTTGACTCGTTGAAAGGATTGTTTGAGCTCGGAAGTCCACTCGATTTTCGCATTGTTGTTGCGTTTACGCCCAGAAATTAGCTTTAGCAATGGTGCCTGTATGCTTGCAATATCCTTTAAAAATCGGTTGTAAAAATTGAGCATTCCCAGAAATCATCGAAGTTCTTTTTCAGTAGCTGGTTTCCTGGAAATCAATAATTGCTTGAACCTTCTCGGGCAAGGGCTTGATGCCTTCGGCGCTGATCACATGTCCTCCAAGGAAGTTGGCGCTCTTCTGCCTGAACACGCATTTATTCGGGTTGATCGCTATTCCATGTTGTTGCAGTCTACCGAACAGAATCTTTAAGTGCTCTTTGTGTTGGGTTTCGTCCTGCGAAGCGATTAGAATATCGTCAATATAAGTAAAACAGAAATCGAGTCCCATCGGTTACCCGATCCATGAATCGTTGAAAAGTTTGAGCTGCGTTACGAAGTCCAAAAGTCATGTATGGAAATTCGAAAAGCCCGAATGGTGTGATGATAGCAGTTTTCGGAATATCTGATTCGCGAACTGGAATCTGCTGATATGCGCGTACTAGATCGATCGTGGAAAATACGGTTTTATCATGAAGGAAATGTGTGCTATCTTGAAGAAATGGAATTGAGTAACAGTCCGGAACGGTTATCTCGTTGAGCTTGCGGTAATCCCCGTACGGACGCCAGTCGCTATTCTTCTTCTTAACCAGGTACAGTGGGCTGGCCCAAGGGCTCTTGGAAGACCTGCATAAACCCTGTTGCATTATATATTCGAACTCTTGCTTGGCTGCTTTAAATTTCTCGTCGTCTTTAAATTTCTTTTTTGGTCCTTCGAGCCGGATTTTCGCCGGCATCCGCAGTGTCGAGTGCATCGCGTCCAGTGCGCGCATCATCAAGAAAATCAGAGAGAGAAGAATTCGCGAGTGAAATCATGAGTGACGAAATAAACGTCTTGCTGAGCTCCCAGCGCCGCATCCATGATCGCATGGCCAGGTCAATAACCAATTTGAAGAAATTGGGGACGGCCAACATCACCCACCACACGGTCGAATCCCGCTTGGCGCTTCTCGACCAGATGTGGGCGAAATTTGAGAAGCAACACGATCTTCTTCAAGTTCATTACAAGGACGCCTTCGATGAGAGTGAGTACAACACGTCTCAATTCGTCGATTCCGCCGAAAACACGTACGTGCAGCTGCGCGGCCTGCTGAGCGAGTACCTGGCAAAGCTCAAAGCTGAAAATTCGAGTACAGCTCCTCCAAGTGAACCGGGAACCGATTGTTCTACCAAGTCGGCGCTGCCGCGCTTAAAATTCCGATCGTTTGTGAGCAATTCCACGGACTTGCCAAACCATGACACGTTGCTGGACTTTATCACAAGGAGAACGCTAACTCTCAAAGCCGCCAAACCAAAATCGCTCAAGGTCTCCGACAACCCGTCGCGATCCGCCAAGTCGCATCACGTCAAGAAACACACCGAGTCTTTCCAATGCGTCCTATGCAAGGGTAAGCACCACGTGATG